AAGATGAAGAGTGTGAAATGAATCTCCATTTTAAAAGTACAGTCATTAAGAGCTACCCTTCTTTCTAGTTTTACTACTTGGTTTAAAAAAAAAAATTACAACTCTTCCCCCACCAAGAAAACAGTATTCACACTCCTTTTTCCCACCTGATACATGTTCTAAGTAACATGTACAATTATATCTAGTCCCATAGCATACATTTTCTACTCAGACATATGGACATATGTTTTTTAACATTTTTATTTATTTGTTTTTACTTTTTGGCTGCACTGTGCGGCATTCGGGATCTTAGTTCCTCAACCACGGATTGAACCCGAGCCCCTGTAATGAAGCATAGTCTTACCCACTGGATCACCAGGGAAGTCCCCTACTTACTTAACCTTACATGCAATGTAGATATGATTCAAATACTATGCTAATTCTGTTTACAAGGTGGCTCTTCTGTGGCTCTAGCCTGCTTAAAATCATTCTACTCCATCCTTTACTACATTTAAATAAAGTTTGCACGCACAGACACAGAGATAACAGCCACACTATAAGTAAAGAATAAATCTTAATATAAATAATAGTAATACTTTACAGTGGTTTATAATACAGGTTCCACATAAGATCCACTTGTGAGGCCTTTTGGAAGGGGCCACCTGTAGTCTCAAGTTTCAAAGGCCAGAAAGGGGCCTGAGAATTTCCGTGATTAAAAAGCCTCACTGAGTATTCTGAAGTCCAGCCAAGGTTAAAACCCACAGGTATTACTAGTCCTTTAAACTTTACAAAGTGCTATTATGCCAATTATGTAATCCTCAGGGGCCCCCTGTGAGGTAATACTATCCTCAATAAGGGGAACTCCGCAAGACCCCTAAGAATTTACTTAGTTAAGGTAGCACTTGAACCCCCACAATATTCCCATTTCCAAGGGCCACTCTCTTTCCATTCTGATGCAGGCTCCTCTTAAAACACTAGATCTGGACAATCCCACTAAGACTAACAAAAAGAGGAATTACAAACTGAGAGGAATTCACCTGTGACTAAGGATTGCTTAGGTAAGTAACTTTGAATTAATGATTCAAAATAAATATTTCTGAATTGATTAGCCAAGACAAAAATTTTTGAATAATTTTTTCAAAACGGAAGAAGTTAAAAAAAAATGGAAGAAGTTATTTTAGCAACATTTTCGGTACTTGTTATAAACTATCCCAACTCCAAGCTAACTCCTTCATGTCATATTTACTGCTACCATATAACACACTCATGTAATTTCCCCTTTTCTGTGAAATGACGTCAAATATTCTAAAGTGCAAAAGGGTTGCAAAGAGAAAAGCCAGACACTCACCCTCTGGGCCCGTTCTGCGATGATAAAGTTGACGTGACTGACGGGCTCACTGGCAGGGTCAGGGCTGGTGAGCGCGTACATGGAGAATCGGGGTAGCCGTCTTGTCAGCTCAAACACGTGAAACTGGGTGCTATGGCCAACCAATGGAACAGAGGAGAACTGTTTTTGTTGAATGTTATTTCAAAGGGAAAGCCCCCCGCCCCCATAAACATAAGGTCACTACTGAGTCATCAAGCTGTTACTTAAGGGTTTCACTAAAGAAACTCTTGTCTACTCTCCTCCCCCCACCCTCACCTCAAAAAAAAAAAAAAAAAAAAAAAAATTGAGGGTTCAAGTCCCACAGTAATGCGGTTTGGGATTTAGAGACATGAGTCTGTGTATACATATGCACGCACCCAGGGTTTACAACACCCAAAAAGGAATGTGAAAATGTTTCTATCTTCCACAAATCTAGTGCTTTTCTTCACTGGCTGAGGTTACATATGACTGTCATATAATGGAACCTAAACCCCTGTAGTCTTGGTGGCCAAAACTAAATTACCCATTAAGTGTACTTTTGGAATTGCTGTGAATATGAAATCATCTGACTAAAACCAGAAATAACCATTTCAAACTTACATACTTTTTATTTATTTTTTGGAAAGATTTCAAATTAGAGAAATAAGAAGTCATGGGAGACCTTGCCTGGGTGGAAAGAGCCATTAAGTGGCTTCTCTGGCCCCAGAGAATCCATGGCAAAAGGGGAAATCTACACATTCTCCTCTCCTCTCAGTGCTGCCTGGACATGAACCGCGATGTGCAAAGGGTCACCTGCTCCTGTAACCCACGAAGGTTTTCAAGTGCAGGTCCATGGGGACGTCTTTGGGAGGTGTGATGGGGATGCGGACGGAGCTGGAAAGATGGTGGACACTGGGGTGCACCACATGGCTTTCACCTGCAAAAATGCCCTCCGCAAAAATCAACACTGCTCGGATGATGGTGTCTGCAGGGAAGAGAGGAGACAGCAGTCCAAGAGCTGCCCCTAGACGACACAGGTGCCAACGACCACCAGCCGTGTGCCAGTAACGCCTTACCATTAGAGGTGGAGATGCACAACTCCGCGTGGGCGGCCTGTGTCTCACCCCCCAGGTTGACGGAGAGGGCGGTGTGGAGCTTGGTGTTGGCCGGGATCATGCCCCGATGCCCATCAGCCTCATTCAGTGGACTGCTCAACTCTGCCTGCAAAACACAACCCCCCTCACTTCCAACTCAGTCCCGGAACAGTGAACTCATGTCAATTTTAAATAATACAGCTATTTGGCTTCAGAAGACAGATCCCCTGTCATCTTATATTCATCCGAGTCTTTAAACGTCAGAGAACTCACCTCATTAGTGCTTTCGCTCTAACCTGGCCTTTTCCCAAAGGGAAATACTCTCATCTCTTCCTGTGGTTAGGGACCACTGTCCCCCAGCACGCCTGTTACATTCTAAAAAAACATTTATTTACTGGCTCTGCTGGGTCTTCGCTGCTGTGTGGGCTTTTTTCTCTCGCTGCGGCGAGAGGGAGCTTCTCTCTAGTGGCAGTGCACAGGTTCCTCACTGCAGTGGCCTCTCTTGTTGCGGAGCAGAGGCTCCGAGGCGCTCGGGTTCAGTACTCGCAGCTCCCGGGCTCCACAGCAGACTCAGCAGTTGCGGCGCACAGGCTGACGTGCCCCGAGGCACCGGGAGCTTCCCGGACGAGGCATCAAACCCATGTCTCCCGCACAGGCAGGCGGAGTCCTACCACTGAGCCACCGGGGAAGCCGCCCACCTTTTACGTTTTTCTGTATTGTTTTGTTTTAAATGAATAAAGAAATTCACTTAGTTTAGCAAATTCAAACAATTATACATGATGGGACAAATTAAAATCCTACTCCCCAGCTCACCCTCCAGCTAGTTGGATAAGTACATGTACACACATATACACACACACACAATACCACACCCAGAGTCTCTGCAGTTGTCCATGTTTATGTTATTTGTGGTTGAAAAAGACAAAAGATACTCTAAACACACTATTCTTGCTTCCCTTCACTCAATAATACCAGACATCCTTCCACATTAGTCCACGTGTATATACTTCATTCTTTTGAGCTGCTTAATATTCCCCAGCCCACCCTCCCAGGACTGATCAAAAGTTACTGCTGCTTCCACCTGTTCCCTGCTGCAAACAGTGCTGCAGTGTGTGTGAACACTCGTGCAAATCTCTCTCTGGCTGAGCTCCCAGGCAGTGGGATTTCTGGGTTAAAGGACACGTGCCCTCTTCATTCTGACACTGGCAAAAAGGCCAGGCCATCTGCCCGCCCATAAGCAGGGAGGGGGAGCCCCCGCCTCGCCAGATGTGGAGACCCTCCTCCTTTCCCAACCACCCATCCTCCTGGTCACTCTCAGCCTCTCAGCCTCCCACGTGCCCGTCCCATCCGGTCCGACCTTGGCGTTGTCCTCATAGTTGCGGAGCTCCAGCAACAGGTTCTGTTTTTTCTGACTCAGCTCTCGGATCAGGTCCTGCTCTAGGCTGGTGTCCATGAGGTTGCCTCTCATCTCAGCCGTGCCCGGCAGGTAGCCCCGGACTGACAAGAGGGGAAAAAAAACCACAGGACTGAGGGAGGGTCCAGGCACAGCCAGGTCTTACTTTTAAGTCATCAATGACCTAGTCTTAAAACCTAAGTTCTCATTTCCCCAACTCAGTTGAATTTATTAGGAAGAAAGGGTATCAGCACAAACACTTAATGGTAAGTCTCCCAGGATTCTGACCCAATCAGACTGAGAAATCTGACTTATCAAGGATCTCTCCTATCCCAATTTACTTTCTCCATCCACCGAGCAGCAGATTAACTGTTGGCAGCCATCCATCCGGTAATCTCCCTCCACCACACCAGCAATTGCAGAAGAAAAGCTGTCCTTAAAGATGACCTCCCCGGTCCGGTCATTTCGAGCATCGACCTAAAAATAGAACAAGAACTTGAAAATAGCTTCTGCTACAGGTTCTTAAAAATGACACAGAATTTTTAAAGTTCAATCAGCTCTAGTCTAGAAGTTTTTAAGAGGGCTCCAAGGAGGGGACTTCCCTGGTGGTCCAGTGGTTAGGAATCCATGTTCCAATGCAGGGGACAAGAGTTTGATCCTTGGTGGGGTAAATAAGATCCTATGTGCCACTGGGCAACTAAGCCCTCTCGCCACAACTAGAGAGCCTGCACACAGCAGCGAAGGATTCCTCAAGCTGCAACTAACGCCCAATGCAGCCAAATGTAAAAAAAAAAAAAAAAAAAAAATTTTTAATGAGTACTCCAAGGGGCCCCCCCCTGTGGCTTCTCAATACTTACCTATAACCAGGGGGCCAAGGGACTTCACTCAGCTCTGCTTTTTCTTAAAAGCTGTTTTACATACTGGCCTAGTATTTCATTTGGAAAAGTGGGTTGGCTGAGAGACAGTGCTTTTAGAAAATATATAACACAGTGTGAAAGTCCAAACTGCCCAGGTTCAAATTCCAGCTTTGCCACTCACTACCAGTGGGATCTTGGGCAAACCTCTTAAACATTCTGGACTTGGCTTCCTCATCTGGAGATCAACAGTAAGAACATGAGGAAAATAACTATCTACACGTCAGGGTTGTAACAAGGTCTAAAAGGGTTAATGTGTTAGGCAGGTAGAACAGGGACTGGCACATAGAAGTATACAAGACATATTAGCTCTACATACAAATTTCACCTTTATTATATGTAAATATATAAAATATATTATACCTAAAGTTTTTATTTATTTGGCTGCACTGTGTCTTAGTTGTGACATCAAACTCTTAGCTGCAGCATGGGATCTAGGGATCAAACATGGGCCCCCAGCATTGGGAGTGTGGAGTCTTAATCACTGTTCCACCAGGGAAGTCCCCAGTTATATCTGAAGTTTGAAAAATGCCAAGCAAGCCCAGTCTTCCACCATCCACCCTCTGGAACAGCCCTGTTTAAGGTCCCTTTGCCACGTGAACTACTGAGATACTGCAGAGAGCCCTACAATCATCCACATCTCCTCTTCCCAAACGAGGCAGATAAATAAATCACTGACCCTTCAGAAACGAATGCCTCACAAAACAACGGGGAAGGATAACCACCTAAAATGAGCTTTTGTTCTAAGCAAGAACACATGCACTATTGATAAAAGGCTAGCTACAGAAAATGTAACAGAGCAAGCACCTCAGTGACCACTATTTTTGTCTTTTCATAAACAGCCTTCTGGGCAAAATTTTGCAGTGAAAAACACACTAATTTAGGTCACAGCTTACTACCAGCTCCTACCCCTTGGCTGGAGAATACCATATTCTTAATAACAACATCAGGTCAGCCTGAAAATTATGGATGCTAAAGCTAGTAAAGCAATGAATGGCCTGTACTGACCAGAGTTCCTCACACATTAACAGAAGCCTTGAACTCAGACTGAACTGAACTTGCTTCATTCTAACTTCTCCATGACCTTCAGCACTGTGTTTCCGCAATATTTAGCAAATAAGAGGGTTAACTTGCTAACTAAGAAACAGGGCTACAAGTCTGTATTTCTGTGGCTTTTCTATTCTTTTGCTTTATCCAACATGAAAGTTTTGCCATGCAAAAGATGACCCTCCAACTCAACAAATGACCTACTAAAGAAAAAGTTAGTTGGCTAGTTGCTTTTAAATTAAGTAATTTTGCACCTATGTTCACCAGGTGGATCTATATTCCTTTTAATGTTGTTTCTGTTGAGTGAAGATACCAATTGTTCCACTTATTTAATGAACTGTATAGTTTGCTTACCTTTCATATAGCTTAGAACATACAAATTATGATTATTTAATAGCAATTTTGTAAAATTTTGAAAGCATTTAACTAGACAGACTTCGACGTTCAGAGTCAGATCTGAAGGTTACTTTTGATAACTTCTTAAGTCAAGTAGTTTTCTAATTCTTAGATCAATCATAATAATTCATATTCCCCCAGAATAGGGTCCCCTTTTATGGATTTTCAAGTTTTTTAATAAGCAACTACACAGTCATCCTTTGTAATTTTCAACACCCATACCAAAACCAAAACCAAGTGGAGAAGTAGGAACCAACATGACAGGTTTTTTGAATCTGTTTTTCACACAACACCAAAGGGAGGTTACAAGACACTGGCCAAAAGTGAAGGAAAAAATCAAAGAAGAAAAGCTAGAGCTAGCTGATCTCCTTCAGGCCATCAGCGCTGACAGATGAAAGAGCTAGGGCAAATGGTATCCATGGAGATCTGGCAGCTCCTTCGGCAGTTTCTAACAAGACAATCCTGACTTGCCAAGAGACTGTACAAACTTCTGATTTGAAGTTAAAAAAGGAAAGAAGAAAAAAAAAAAAAATCCTAGTTTGAAGTTATAGCTTGGAAAGCAATGATAACTTTTCCCACTAATTCTAAGATTTTAGTCAAACTTGAAGATTCACTAGAAAAGAGCTACATACACAGTTCACTACTAGCTTACTAAAAATCCTTTTTTTTTTTTTACTTGCCTATGCCTGTGATCAACTTGATTAAATTGATTCCCATCCCTTCAAGGAAGGGACTTAGACCTTCCTGGAGCTCTTCCCCCAAATAGGGCTTATAAACCAAAAGGACGCTCACTCACTTTTAAGTGTTGATAATCAGAGCCGGGAGAAGAAATCCAGGAAGGTTAAGAAGTTACATTTGAAAGCACAGCTGAGAAACTCACGTGCATATTCTCCTGTCACTGTTTGGAGTCATGCAGCCCATATATCTCAGATAGTTATGACTTTAAATTATACTTGAACACTACTCTTTAAACTTACCTTCCCATTGGCCCAACCAGTTATCAGTTCACACACTCCATCAGAATTAAGGTCAAAAGCATGAATACTCATGGCATGATTTTTGGACTGAAAAGGAATTTCAATAATTAGTATAGAAATCTCTCAATAAGTATAAAATCCCTGAATATCAGAGGCTGTATCATACAAACTTTAATTCTCCAGTATCGGGCTGTTTTGTCATAAACTCCAACGGTGCCATTGGAAAGGGCATAACCAAATCGATTGCCATACATGGGGCAAAGAGAGGTGATGATCTGCAAAAAATAATGAAAAAGATAAAGTTCATTAAGGCTCAATTTAGTGCAAAATGACTTTATAAAACTGCATACCTTGCTACAAGTGTGTTAAAATTAGGTTTAAATGCACTTCCAATCCACTAGCGCAGAATGTGTTCTTCTCTATGATCCATGTCCTCTATTTCAGATTTGGATCATAAGAATTAAACTCACAAAGTTTACCGTTTTAGATCAAGCATATGTAGCAAATTTCAACAAATTATTTTTTTAAATAATAAAATTGAGGAATTAAGAAGGAAATAAACTATGCACACAAGATCTGGACTATGTAAAATTGATGTTATACATACTAGCTCAAAATATTTTAATGATTATTTCCATTTCCTTAACTTACAATATCCTGCAGTCTAAATTTTAAAAGGACTTATAAAATCCACAATTAAATATATTTTAAGAGTATACTTTTCCAAAGTATAATTTACTGTTTGCTAGAAGAAAACATAATCCTTTAAAAAGCAAAACCCTAGGATACCATGGATTTGTACATATCTAACAATATACAGGGAGAAGGCAATGGCAACCCACTGCAGTACTCTTGCCTGGAAAATCCCATGGACGGAGGAGCCTGGTAGGTTGCAGTCCATGGGGTCGCTAAGAGTCGGACACAACTGAGCGACTTCACTTTCACGCATTGGAGAAGGAAATAACAACCCACTCCAGTGTTCTTGCCTGGAACCCCAGGGACGGGGGAGCCTGGTGGGCTGCTGTCTATGGGGTCGCATAGAGTCGGACACGACTGAAGTGACTTAGCAGCAGCAGCAACAATATACAGACTGCATATGTTATACTGGAGTATTAATAGGACTGTTAAGAGGATTTAACACACTTAAGAGAATTTACAATTACAATTTACAAAATCTACAATTTTAGATACTGAACAAAATTATCCTTAAAAGTTAAAATTGAAGTTTAAAGATATCTATGACCCTGCAGATCTACACTCTGACTAATGTAAGAGATAATAAGAAATAAACTGTATAAAGTAGAGAATAGTTATGTAATTTCTTCTACACCTACAGCTTTTCTATAAAACCACCCACTTCACTTAACTCTGAATACAAAGTGCCAGTGGGACTCCAGAATTATTTAGCTCAAGGCATTCTTTTGGCAGTACTGTTCATAATTTTGCCGATGTGCAAAAACATATTTGAACTAAGAGCAAAATCAAACCAGAGGAGAAGAAAACGGCCCTGAAATGAACAATCTTATAAAGTCCACATTTTCCTAAATTTAGCCCCAGTTTCCTTAGATCCCTTAGTCCTTTATAAGGTCAATAGTTTCTTCTTTTGTGGACTAGAGGATCAAAAGGCACATCAAATTCCTCGCTGTTATTTCATGTTCTCCTGTCCTTTTCTAGGATTTAGAAAAAAGGTGTTTCACAGAATGTACTCCCCCTGACATCTAGTATTGACAATTAACAGAAATCCAACAAAACCTCAGTGATTCCCCAAATGGGAAAAGATTTACTATGAATTTAAATGAAAGGGAAATGGTAATGAAGAACCCAGCACTTACAGGTCAGTAATTGTCAAGCTGGCAATCCCCTTCAACAATCTAATGAAATTAAAAGACGCTTACTCCTTGGAAGGAAAGTTATGATCAACCTAGATAGCATATTAAAAAGCAGAGACATTACACTGCCAAAAAAGGTTCGTCTAGTCAAGGCTATGGTTTTTCCAGTGGTCATGTATGGATGTGAGAGTTGGNAAGTAGAGTCAGATTAAGTAAAAATCTATAGTAAAAGTGAAGAAATGAAGTGAAGTCGCTCAGTCGTGTCCGACTCTTTCTGACTTCATGGACTGTAGCCTACAAAACTCCTCCATCCATGGGATTTTCCAGGCAAGAGTACTGGAGTGGGTTGCCATTTCCTTCTCCAGAGGATCTTCCCGACCCAGGGATTGAATCTGGGTCTCCTGCATTGTAGGCAGACACTTTACCATCTGAGCCACGAGGGAAGTCCATATAAACCCTTCAAAATCACTGGTAACACTTTATATATCAATACGCACATTTTGCTTTTTGGTCTCCCTTTTGCAGGCAGGGGAACAGAAACCTGATGTCCCTAAACAGCTTTTGTACGCGAAGAGAAGCAAGGATGAGTTCTCATCCCAAGGTGAGTTCTCAGGCTGCTGCCCTCAATTTTTTCTGATACAACCTCCCAAACACCAGTTGATACAATTCTGCACAATACCACCATTTGGATCTCTAAGACTTCCTTCTGTTGTTTTTTTCTGTCCATTTACAGGGCTCACAAGCCAATGCTCCTTTATTTCCATCTCCTTCCTTAATTTAGAATATCCTAATTATCTTTTTGGTTTCCATCTTGCCCAATCCTGGAAAACCAGCAGCAAATAAATATTCTAAGAATACCAAACCATAAGGGATAAGGGCAATCTTTAGACACTGTTTAAAAAAAGACAACTCTTTCAGAAACATTTCAGTTTGAATTACATGAGTAATTCTAATCATAAAGAAACTAGTCAAGTTCTCTGACATCTAGTTTTTAAGTTTACCAACAGAAATGTGCCTAAGAAGTACTTAATTTGAATGAAGAGAAAAAGTCTAAAACCCTCACAGATACAGTTCATTCAATATTCAATCCCATTTAATACACATGATGAGAAGCAGGAGGAGGACCTGACCATGCCACTTAATAGCCATGACCTTTTGAGAGTAACTTAACAAACAAACATAACATGTTCCCTCATCTGTAAAACGAGAACTACTAATTCCTTCATAATTGGGCTGTTGTTGGATTAAATGAGTAGCTCATGTAAATAACTTAGAACAGTGTCTGGCATGTATCAGGTGCACAATAAATGGTTGCCATTATTATTATTATTATATAATAGCTCACTAAAAGAAATACCTTTTGTGCTCCATAATTTTTGTCTAATCAGTGTTTTCGAAAATAACTTTTTTCTTTTTTTCATTGGAGTACAATTGTTCTATAATGCTGCATTAGTCTCTGCTGTGCAACAATGTGACTGAGCTGTATGTATACATAAATGCCCTCCCTCTAGAGCCTCCCTCCCACCTCCCCTTCCTCTGGGTCATTAGAGAGTGCTGAGTCAAAATATATCTCGATAAAGGATATTTAAAGGCTTCTTTTTCTGTAACGTACTGCTCTATTTAATCCCCACAGTCTTTACCGTAAAACTGGGTAGTGAGATATCCCAGCACTCTCTCTTTATGCTACATTTGACTAGGCTAATCTGTCAAGGTTATCATAATTCTGAGGTGGTGCTTACCTCTGTTTCTGTTATTTCTGCCACTATCTCATCTTCTTTGAAAACTCGGATATCAAAATCCTCAGATCCAACAAGAAGCTGAAAGGAAAAAAAAAAAAAATCAGGCATATTTAGTTCAGTAAGTGAAGACAGCAAAATTTCCATAAATAAAACAAAAAAACTGCATGATACTTTGTAAGCTGCTAGAGCCACCCAGGAATTCCAACTTCTCGGTGATGGATGCTCAGAAGGGTTCCTTCCACTGAGAAGGTCGTGAGTTGGTCAGTGAAGAAACACTGGTTACTACAGATCCTGCCACGTGGGCACCTCCTACCAGAACAAGTTCTTTCACCAGGCACCTGAAAATGCTCCCTGACTCAGTATCTGTCTGCCCGCAGGTGAAAGCCCTGCTGCAAAAGCCAGAGCCCAGTATCTGCAGACAATCGGAGGGTAGGTCAATGTCCAACACAGTACTTCACTGGCTGCTCAAGAGGTTAATTTCTAGAGAAACTGTTAGAGTAATTTAAAAAGCTAAAAGCCAATCTCTAAAACTTCCAGATTCCTTAAAAAGTTGGCCAAAACTGAGACCTAGGTACTAATATGATTTTAAAACACTGGAATCAAGTTATAAGACTGTGATTGTGACTGTGATCCCAACAACTATTTTGCCCTCTCCCCCATCAGGTGTCTTTGAAATATGGTCTTGATCTCTGTATTTAACAAACCCAAGTGACTTACTGTTCAAAAGAGAGGAGAAAGACAAATGAAGCCAATTAGTTCCTCATTCAGGCAACAGAACAGCAAAATCAACCCTGAGAAGCTAACACTTCTCTTAACACAATGGTCACTGTCCTGGGGAAATGTGTGTACTCAGCTGAGAAGTACACACAAGAGGAGGATCTCCTCCCCCACACACCTCTTTCTTTCCATCGCCATCGAAGTCACACAAGGCCAAGGAATGGACGTTATCGCCAGTAACCTGAAAATAAAGCCCAAGTCATTACTATGCCATTTCTATTCACTTAATCCAAACACAGGAGCTACATGAAAGACAGGATGAAATAAACCATGAATTTAAAATTCACATTACTCACAGCCTTTTTTTAATGTATAAAATTATAAATACTGTTTTATTTTGTTTCCATTATTCATTACTGTCAGTGGTTAAAAACAAACAAACAAGCAAACAAGACCTAAAGAACATTAAAAAGTAAAAATGTTTAAGGGTACTAAAGAGAGTATTTCGTTCTTCATACCGTCCAAAAGAGATCATTTCCTTCATGATTGAAACCCTGCAGAGCACAGTTTCCACCGATAATTGCAAGGGGAGAGGGGATGTCTCCCAGCGTCCCCAGCACGATTGCATTGGCCCCATCTGCTACCTGAGAAGAAAAACAGAAAAGACAAACCCTCAAACACAATGCTGCAAGGCACACTGGAGGTAACATACATCCTTCTTTTTATCTGGAAACTCAAAGGCCTCTGTCATCATTCCTGAGAAGCCACCTGGTCTCCTGAGAGGCAGGCCAGAGCTGTCCATCAAGGACAGTGTCTGTGGCTAACGCGGCTTATGCAAGGATGAGCACTGACTCAGGATAAACTCAGGCCCTTGGTCTCTTGCACTAACCTGCTATGATAACCCACTCTAAAACCCCAGGCTCTCTTGGACCACCGAGTTTTAGAGGCCAAATTCTCAGAGAATCAGACGTAATGCCTTTAAAACACCCAAACTTTTGTAATCTACTTTAACCACTTTAGATGGAAATCTATTACTACTGATTAATTAGTTCTCTTACTACTGCTCGTTTTTAAGTACTAAAAACTACAAGCACCTACAGATCCACCATTCTGAACTAGTAAATGTCTCAGACTTCTTGAATAAAATACATAAGCACAGTTTGATGAAAATGTTTAAAACTGATTGTGGTGATGGTTACACAACTCACTGAATAGACTAAAAACTACTGGACTGTATGCTTTAAATAGGTGAACTGTATGGTATGTGGATTGTATCTTAATAAATCTGTTATAGAAAAAAAGTAAAAGATTACATGTATATATTATGATCCCATTTTGTAAACAAAAAAAGAATTCACTCACAAATACTAAGTAAAAAGTCAGGATAAATCAATCAAGAGTTAAGTGTTATTTCCAAATGAAGAAATTATGGGTGATTATTTTTACTTTGCTTCTATTTTTTTTTTTCCATTTATTTTTATTAGTTGGAGGCTAATTACTTTACATCATTGCAGTAGTTTTTGTCATACATTGAAATGAATTAGCCATGGATTTACTGCTTCTATTTTTATATAATAAGTATGGATTATCTGAGTATTAAAGTTGCAGCAGCCTGTAGATGGCAGGCTATGGTAAGTGCTTCTCCTGGAAACTACTAAACTTCAGTGCAAAGCCACCAGGAGACCTGTTTGCTGGCTTTCTGGCTGCTGGCTGCATTTTTAATGACAAATCTTGACAGATGAAAGTATCAACAGATACGCTGTTGTTTTTCAGTTGCTAAGTCATTTCCAACTCTTTTGCAACCCCGTGGACTGTAACCTGCCAGGCTCCTCTGTCCATGGGATTTCCCAGGCAAGAATACTGGGGTGGGTTGCCATGTCCTTCTCCAGGGGATCTTCCCGACCCAGGGGTCGGACCTGCACCTCCTGCATTGGCAGGTGGGTTCCTTACCTCTGAGCCACCAGGGAAGCTATCAATAGATAATACCTCCTGAAAGATAATCTGGAGCATCACCAAATGATTACCAACCATGACCAAATAAGTGTCAACGAGATGTAAATGGCAAAACATGCATTTTTTTTTAACTACACTACAACAGCCACATAACAAACCCAAATGTATGTCTGATCTCTTTCAAGCGTTTAAAAAAAAATAAAAAAACAGTGGACATTAATGGGAAGTGGGAGTTCTATGGTTATAAATGGGTATACTTGCCTCTCTGTAGAACAAATCTGAATTATTGTAGACATCATAAGCTAACAGATTGGTCTGTGTCCCCACTAAAAGAGCATCATAGCCAAGTTCAGGGTTCAGTACTCCTGCGGTCAGGCAGCTGACTGTCTGGTTAATGTTGAGAAGTGAAACATCAGACTCCAGGGGGCTCTGGAGGACCCTGGGAGCATCGAGATGTTGGTTCCGTGCATGAGGGTTGTGAATAAAAACCTACAACAAAAAGTTAATTACATCCCCTTAACATCAAAAAAATGTAAAATTAACATATTTTTATTAAAAGGCTCAGGTTATTAACAGATTACCAACACTAACAAAAAGGGATTTAATCATCCACAAAACTTAAAAACACCCATACACAGTTCTGTGCATGGCTGGCTTTCAATCACTTCAAAGTGTGGAAATCCAGTGGCTCTCAGCCTTGTAAAGACCGAGATATAATGGCCAAGATCTAGTTGTCACTTCCCAGGGCAGCTTACATACAACCAACCGGCAGGACATTCAAGCACTCTTACAAACCAGCCTCTTCCTGGTCAACCTATAGGAAATTGCTATCAGTTACAATGAGATTGAGCATACAAAGATCAGAGAAAACAGTAATAAACACTTCATTATCTTTCATCCCAACGCCTAACAAATTCACTTCCTGACCCTTAAAACTGATCGGTAGTAAATCTGTCTTATAATCCTAAATTGAGTCACACAAAGCAAGCTTCTTGAAGGCTTTCATAGTCTATACAAGTAGACAGAATTAATTAACTCCAAGTTAATTAATCTAGCAGTTTCAACTATCACAAATATAATCATCTGAGTGTCCTTACAAATCTTTAAATTTCCTTGGGCTTCATATGTAAAAGGAGTTCTAGACTAGAAGAAGCACTCTCAAGAGGGATGATGTTGCTCCCAAAATGGGTAATTGGGTTTGGGGTGGGGAGGATCTTAGACATTAAGTCATAGAGATACAGTACAGAAATTTCATTAGGGAAATTTTCATTTTCTGGAAAAAAAAAAAGCAATATAAAAGGCAATATGGAAAAAAAAAAGGATGAGAAACTAGAGATCCCTTAAGCCCCCATCTAGTTCTAAAATTTGCTAATTTATTTATTTTTGGCTGTGCTGAGTCTTTGCTGCTACGAGCAGCACTTTTCTCGAGTTGCAGTGAACAGGGGCTACTCTCTGGTTGCAGTGCGCAGGCTTCTCCTTGTGGTGGCTTCTCTCGCCGCGGAGCACAGGCTCTAGGGTTTGTGGGCTTCAGCAGTTGCAGCTCCCAGGCTCGAGAGCACAGGCTCAACAGTTGTGGTTCATGGGCTTAGCTGCTCTGAGAAAATTTTCTAATTTTAAATGAGCATTTCAACCCTTTGGTGTAAATCTGTAACCCGGCGAGGCGGGTTTGGTTGCTCGCCACTCAAAAGGCCAATACCCGAGAGACGAGTGTTGGTGGGAAAGGAAATTTTGCTTTATTCAAGAGGCCAGAATCCTGGGAAGAAGGCGGACTAACACCCTGAGACTGTCTCCAAGTTGCCAGATAGGAAACAAAAATTTTAAAGGCAGTGTGGGCAGGAGGGGGCCACAGGGCATGCAAGCAGCTCGCGCACAATTCTTGGACTGGTTGGCATCAAGGAAGGTTTTAAGCATCACCTGTCTTCTGGTTTCAACCCAGTCTGGGGTCTATATGCTCATGATCAGAAGTTTTCAACTGGTAGGGGTCTGCTTCCAATAAAAACAACTTAGGAATGTGTGTCAGACCTTCATAGTTTTCAGGGAACTGGGAGTTGGGAGTCTGGTTAACTCTATAGTCCAAACTGTTCCCAGTTTCCCAGCTTAAAAGCTTGTTTCTACACCTTCACATTCCTAGACATTAACACTTGAGCCAGCCTTCTGAGACTCAAGGGAGGCCTGGGAGACTAAAGCTTTTCAACAAACAAGAAGTAGAGGACACAGTTGGTTGGGGTGGGGGGGCTGTCCCAGGGAGGCCCCCTAGGGTCCAGCTTGGTTACAGTCTCCTCTTTTCTCTGATACTCCTCAAGCCTGAGGGTGTGGAACAAGAAAGGAAATAGAGAGTTTTGAATAGAGAAGTTAAATCATTAACTCGGTAGAGGAACTCAGTTTAGGGCACTTGGTTTTAAACCCAAGCAGGATTAATTTTAAATTATTATCTAAACAAGGTAACCTATTCAACAAAAGATAATTTTTATAAGACTTATTAGACTTAGATGTCCATTGACAGATGACTGGATAAAGAAGTGGTGGTGCATATACACAATGGAATACTATTCAGCCATAAAAAAGGAACGCGTTTTAAGTCACTTGAACTGAGGTGGATGAACCTAGAGTCTGTCATACAGGGTGAAGTAAGTCAGAAAGAGAAAAACATATATATTAACACATACATATGGAAACTAGAAAAATGGAACTGATGAACCTATTTGCAGGGCAGGAAGAGAGATGCAGACATAGAGAACTCAGTGGGGGAAGGAGAAGGTGGGATGAATTGAGAGAGTAGCATGGAAACATATACATTACCATATGTAAAACAGACAGCTAGTGGGAAGTCGCTGCATAACATGGCAAGCTGAACCCAGTGCTCTGTGACAACCTAGAGGGGTTGGGTGGGGATATATGTATACATATGGCTGGTCCACGTTTTTCTACAGCAAAAACAAACCACCTTGAAAAGCAATTATCCTCCAATTAAAAAGAAATTTTAAAAAAAGATTGGTGAGAAATCTATAGAAAAGGTGTGTAGCTACTGAATATTGTGTTCACGCTCTCATTTGTGTCATACTTTACAACATGCTTTTATAAACATTACTGCATTTGGTCCTCCAGATATACAGAAGAGGTGAGAGGGGTTAAGGCCTTTCCTTCCTCAAGGTCTCACCACCGATAAGTGACAGGAGTAAGACACAAGCCTGGTGTCAGGCTCCACTCATCTCCAGCCATATCTTACTTCCTTTCATAACAGTCTTGAACAAAAGAATTCTTACCGAGTCTCCTAGTAATTAGATAGGCTGAAAAAGAACTGGAAGAAAAATAACCTGTGGACTTCATGTTCATTGTTATTGGGATGAAAGGAGTTTGAGGTTTATTGCCGGAGTCCCAGGAGTCTGGTTCCTCCCACTGTTTTCTACATACAGAAATCAGACCAGGAGACTCCTCTGGCCCACAGGCTCAGTCACTCCCAGGGCCTTTATCCAGGGCTTCCCTGGTGGCTCAGGGGTAAAGAACCTGCCTGCCAATACAGGAGACCCAAGAGACTAGAGTTCGATCCCTGGGTGGGGAAGATTCCCTGGAGGAGGAACTGCCAACCCACTCCAGTGTTCCTTCCTAGAAAATTCCATGGACAGAGAAGCCTGATGGGCTACAGTCCACGGGGTCACAAAGAGTCAGACACGACTGAGCACGCAGGCATGCACGCGCGCGCGCACGCACACACACACACACACACACACACACGGTGCCTTCAAGCCAAAGAATTGGCTGTAATTTACACATCTGTTCTAGCTGAGGGGGTGCTGCTGCAATATATATTCCATGGTGAGAGGAAACATGTCCCCAGATGAACTAATGTTCATCCTGCAAGAAATTCCTTTTCAAAATATCCTTGCTCAGGTGCAGAGACTAGTTCCCAGTAAGCCAGCCCCACCTTCACAACAGAGTCCCACAGAAAATGACGAAATTCTGTTTCTAAAGACATGGGCCCCCACAGTCAAGGAGGGCTTCAGCCTTACTGGAGATGTTTGTTTTTAAAGGAAACTATATTTTTGTGTGTTGTCTGGATCATAAAATGGTGCCTTTTTTTTTTTTAGTCTAAAGATCAGGTCAGAACTTCCCAGGTCTGTTTTTGAAGTTCTGAATATAACATATCTGATTAGAGAGAACATAGGAACTTCCATCTCTCCCTTTTTCCCCTGTCTTCAGAAACAGACCGAGAATAAGGGGTCCCTGCCTCCCTTTCTAGGTCACATTCTAATGAAAGGGTTTCCAGAGAAACCTGCTTCCACTCCTGCATCTCTGTTGCAGTACCAGCCAGTAATCCTTCATTTGAAACATAAACCAAATCCCAATCACCCATTTTATCAAAAACCAAGGTCTTTGCTATGGCTTATGAGGGCCTATATGATCCAGCTACTGGCCACCTCACTGCTTCCCTCATTCCATTCCAGTTCCAGAAGCCTTCCTGTGTTTCTGGAACACATCAAGTATACCCTCTACCTCAAAGCCCGTGTGTACTTGCCGATACACTTAATTCCACCTGTCTTCAGGGCTTGTTTCATTGCCTTCAAACCTCTGATCCACAGTTATCCTATCAGAAACCTATCTGATCACTCTGTCTAAAACTGCCATTACCCCTCTGCAGACTGTGTGTATCTGTTTACTGTCTAGCTCCTTCTCTCAAATGTAACCTCCAAGGGAGTGGACAGAAGTGTTAATCGCTCAGCCGTGTCCAACTCTTCACAGCCCCATGGACCGTAACCGAGGAGCCAGGCTCCTCTGTCCATGGGATTTCCCAGGCAAGAATACTGGAGTGGTTTCCCACTTCCTTCTCCAGTGGAGCTTCCTGACCCAGGAATCAAACCCATGTCTCCTGTGTCTCCTGCACTGGCCGGCGGGTTCTTTACCACTAGCGCCACCTGGGAATAAAACCAGTAAGACTTGTCTGTCACATTCACCCTTGTAACTACAGACTTAAGAACAGTGCCCAGCACACAGCAAGCCCTCAGTAAACCCAGGGCTGAGCTAATATCAATGGGACTTTTTCAGCCCATTTATGTAGCTGCTGTGTACCTACAGAAAAACCAATAAGAATTTCTTTCTGGTTATTTGTCAGTGTCTCCTCACCTTATTACACCTAACATTATTATGTGCCAGGCTCTGTGCTAAGTGTTTTCCTCCATCACACAACTTTATTAAAATGAACCACTACTTTTTAATTGATGTATCCCAAGGCGGAGCAGATGAGAAAACATATTGGAGGTGGAAGTGTCTTGAAAACTATAAATCATTATATAAATGTCAACTTGTTAAATCCACACTGGGTCAGAGAACAGGCACTCTAATCTCATTTCTACCGCTTTCCAGTTGAGCAGCCTCAAACATTGCTTTGAACCTCTCTAAACCATTATTTCTAATCAGTAAAGTGGGAGTAATAAAAAGAAAATAACAGCTAACAATTAGTGACCACTGCCTATATGCCAAGAGCATGACACATAGTAACTTACTTAATCCTCTTAACAACTCTATGTGGTAGATACTATTAAGCACCTTGCCCAAGGTCATGAAATCAGTAGGTACCAAAGCCAGGATCTACCACACCTGTGCTATGCTACAGCAGTTGGCAATTTAGCAAGGACGCTGAGATAATTAATGTAATAAGGCTTTGTAACTGTTAGCAGTCATTAAGCTCGGCGTCACTGTATTCCATGTTTTTTGGGCATTCCTCCATCAGCACACATAGTGCCCTGATTTGCCCTGTCTGTTGTCCTTCTGGACCAGGAGCTTTGTGAAAACACAGATTCCAACTTTATCTCTGAATCCCCAAGTTCTAGCACGAAGAAGGTGTTCAGTAAGTCTGGTGCGATGTTGAATGACCGTATCTTTTTCGTCTCCGCGACGCCCACACTTTGCACAGTGCAGGGTACACAGTAAGCCCCTAATAGGTACTGAGTGAATAAATTACAGGAAGAGACATGAATGTACACGGATAAAGATCAAAAGAGCAATTTGAACCATTTAAGTCAGAGGTATCTATAATTTTTTTTTTTTCCCCTGCCGTAGAGTTGCTTGGCTCTGAGAGGCAGTCTGAGATGCTAGGAGGTTCCCAGCGAAGGGCAGAGGCTCTGGGCTTGAATCTGGGAGTCCTCCATTACTGCTAACCCTGACCAAGGCCTTCCCTGCAGGGGACTTCTCTTCCCTATGCTCCCTATCTGTAAAGAGACTCCAACACCATCCGAGTCGAAGAGCCCGAAGACAAGTTAACTGCTCGGTAGGGCCGTTCCGCTTTGTTATTCAGGATTTCCGCGCAGAACCGAGAGCTGGCAAGGCTACCGACCCGTTGCCGGGCAACCCTGGCTGGGGGCGGGGTCTGAGAAGGAGCGGCGGGATTGCAGGGACGCGGCCCGCCGAGGTCGTGGGGACCCCAGGGGCCCGGGCCCCGTGCGGGTGGGAACGGGTGGGAGCGGTTACCTTGCCCGCTTGGGTAGCGGCCGCGAGGCACGGGTGAATCCCGTCGTAGCGCCCTACGGCCACCATACGGGGGTTGATTTTGTGGCGCAGTTTCAGGGTGAACACGGGCTGCAGCATGTTGGCGGCGGTTCTGGAGAAGAGGGCTAGTGGCCCGAGACCAGCGCTGCGGTCTCGGCCTCACCGAGGCGTTGAGAGGCGCGGAGACCAGACCGGACCGGGTCTGGCTTCATCAGGCCAGGCGGGAAACTGATGAAGACTCGAGTCGGACCCGAGGCCGCGAGCTCTTTTTGCGGCTGCGCAGGCCCGCCCACCGAGTTCCTGCAGCTGCGCGGTCGGGCCTCGGCGGGGTTCTGCCATTTTCCTGCTTTAACTTACCGGCACTGGATTCAATTCAACTCCGGGTCTACAGTGGCGGTGTTTGAGCCATCGCACCCCTGGGGCTTCTCATTCTAGCACCACAACCAAGCTGCCCAACTGTTCCTGCTTACACATACTTCTGTCTACCCAACTCCAAGGGCTTATTCAATAAATATGCCTTGAATGTGTGTGTTAGTCGCTCAGGCGTGTCCGACTCCTTGCGACCCCGTGGACTGTAGCCCGCCAAGCTCCTCTGTCCATGGAATTCTCTAGGCAAGAAATACCGGCGTGGGTAGCCATTCGCTTCGCCAAGGGATCTTCCCCAGCCAGGGATTGAACCCTCGTCTCTTGCATTGCAGGCAGATTAGGGAGCCACTAGGGAAGTCCAAGGGGGCGACTAGCATCACCGACTCAATGAACATGAGTTTGAGCAAACTCCGGGAGACAGTGAAGGACAGGGAAGCCTGGCTCACCACAGGCCTTGGGGTCACAAAGAGTTGGGCATGACAGTGACTGAATGACAAAAACGCCTTGAATATCTACTCTTCTTACTTCAGCTGTTATGTTGATGCCCACAGTAATTACTTAATATATCAATCCTCTGGGGGAAAAAATCATACTTTAAACTCTCATCTTTAAATCAATTTCTTAGCATTCGTTCAGACATTTATTTTTTGAGACTACTATGTTTACAGAGGATGAGATGATTGGATGGTATCACCGACTCAATGGACATGAGTTTGAGTAAACTCTGGGAGTTGGTGATGTACAGGGAGGCCTGGTGTGCCACAGTCCTTAGGATCGCAAAAAGTTGGACAAGACTGAGGGACTGAACTGAACTCAACTATGTGTCAGGCCCTATTCTAGTAGTAGTGATATGGCAGTAAACATAAGACAAACCTCTGGTCTCCTGAAGCTGACATACAAGTCGGAGGAGACAAATACTAAATGAGAAACACATGTGGGAAGTCTTTTGGTGGTAAGTGGTAAAGAGGAAAGAGGGATGGAAGTTTGGAGAAAGTACAATTTTAAATAAGGTAGTAGGGAGACTTCCCTGGTCGTTTAGTGGTTAAGAATTCGTCTGCCAATGCAGGGAACATGGGTTCTATTCCTGGTCCAGGAAGATTCCACATGCCATGGGGTGACTAAGCCTGTGTGCCACAACTACTGAGCCTGCACACCAGAGCCCATGCTCTGCAACAACAGAAGCCATTGGAATGAGAAGCCTGCGAACTGCAACTAGAGAAACTGAAAGTTGCTCAGTCATATCCCACTCTGCGACCCCATGGACTGTAGCCTGCCAGCCTCCCATGTCCATGGAACTCTCTAGGCCAGAATACTGGAGTGGGTAGCTGTTCCCTTCTCCAGGGTTTCTTCCCAACCCAGGGATTGAACCCAGGTCTCCCTCATTGCAGGTGGGTTCTTTACCATCTGAACCACCAGGAAAGCAACTAGAGAGTAGCAGAGAGTAACCCACAGTCACTGCAACTAGAGAAAGCCCATGCACCACAATGAAGACCCAGCCAGCCAAAATAAAGAAATAATTTTTTAAAATATGGTGGTAGGGAAGAGACCTCACTGAGAAAGTGACATTCAGGCGAGAATCTGAAAGGGAATCAGTTTTGAGAAAGTGTGTTTCAGCAGAGGAAATTCGGGTGCAAAGACACTAAAGGATCGCTCTGGCTGACTTCTGAAAATAAGCGTTTAAGGCTGAGGGATGAGATGAGTGGGAACCAACAGAGGAGACCGAGAAGGAAGCTAAGTGAAGAGAATGTTGCGAGCAGGAGAAAAATCACTGTGTCAGATGTTGAAGGTAGGTCTTGAAAGATGGGTTCTAGAATATTCTTGATATTTGCATTTTGCAATTACAGCTGTTCAAATGAGCATCTTTTTTCAAGCCGACGGTGGGTATCCATGGCTAGTTGTAATCTCTTTGGGAGATGATATCTAAAGACTAAATTTGAGGGCCTTGATGGAACGTAGGGCTTCCCTCATAGCTCAGTTGGTAAAGAATCTGCTTGCAATGCAGGAGACCCCAGTTCGATTCCTGGGTTGGGTAGATCCCCTGGAGAAGTGGGAGGCTACCCACTCCAGTATCCTTGGGTTTTCCTGTTGTCTCAGCTGGTAAAGAATCCGCCTGCAATGCAGGAGACCTGGGTTCAATCCCTGGGTTGGGAGGATCCGCTGGAGAAGGGAACAGCTACTCACTCCAGTATTCTGGCCTGGAGAATTCCATGGACTGTATAGTCCATGGGGTCACAAAGAGACGGACATGACTGAGTGACTTTCACTTTCAAGCCCTGAGCCAATGGCCTAATAAGGCTACTCTGACAGGCTTTGCCTCTGACTTCTCCCAATCCTTTCTGCCCCACTGTCTCTGCTGTCACTGTCTAGACCTGTAGCACTTACTCAGCCAGCCCCATAATGGAAAATGCCCTGGGTTTGTCCTCCTGCCTTTTCTAATCAAAACTTTGTGGGGTACCCCTCCCCTCAGACTTCCCTTGTGGCTTAGATGGTAAAGCGTCTGCCTGCACTGCAGGAGACCTGGGTTCAACCCCTGGGTCGGGAAGATCTCCTGGAGAAGGAAATGGCAACCCACTTCAGTATTCTTGCCTGGGAAATCCCATGGACGGAGGAGCCTGGTAGGCTACAGTCCATGGGGTCACAAAGAGTAGACACGCCTGAGCGACTTCACTTTCTTTTCCTCCTCTCAACCCCTAAACTCTGTCTCCAGGAAGGCATCATCTCACTGAATCCACTTTGCTAATAGCTGACTACAGGCTGACAGGCCATGTCTCCCAGAACAGCTTGAAAAGAATAAATCTCTAACAGAGGTCATCTCACCTACTGAGGGTCCCCATGTGCTAGTCTGTGTTCAATAAATGAGGGACATAAAGGACACCGTGGCAAACCAGAAAGACATACTCTGTGCCTTTATGGAAGTTACACCTAGAAGTATATTTGTTTGCTAATATGCTACCCTAACAAAATACCGCAAACCGGGTAGCTTAAACAACACACATTTGTGTGATCGCAGTTCTAAAGGTTGGAAGTCCGAGATGCCAAAACAGTTGATTTCTCCTGGAGCCTCTGTCCTTGGCTTGCCAATGGCCACCCTCTTGCTTCCTCTTCCCACAGTACCTCTGTGCATTCACCCTTCTCTGTGTCCAAATTTCCCCTTCTGAGGACAGCAGTCAGATTGGATCGGGGCCTGCCCTAAGGGCCTCATTTTAACGTAATCACCTCTTTAAAGTTTCCATCTCCAGATACAGTCACATTCTGGGGTACAGGGGTCAGGACTTCAACAAATGAATTACAGCTCGGGGAAGACACAATTCAGTCTGTTACAAGGGGATAGGGAGCAACAGACATTAAACCCGAAAGCAAGTAAGATTGCTTTTTCTGGAGATAAAGCTGATATGCCAAGGCTCAGAAAAGGCTTTTCAGAGGAAATGACATTTGATCCAAGTGCTCCGTGACAAGAAAGTGGCATCCAAGAGAAGATGTAGGGGAAGGTCCTTCCAGAGAGAGGAAACAGCTGTGTTGAAGGCCCAGGGATGGGCATGTTTGAAGATCAGAAACACAATAAGGTGGCTGGAGCCTAGTGAGTGAGAAAGAGGCCGGGAGGGGCCACACCAGGAAGCTTGCCTTTTAGTCTTTAGCGGGCAGACAGCAGATATCCATGGCCTGCTGGATATCTGTATAAGGGTGGTCTTAGTCTCTGTCCACCCTGCTGAACCTCACTCACTCTGTACTGCCTGGGTGGTCTGCAAGAGTTGCTGTCACTCTTCACTGCAGGACAGTACCAACACCAGCAGCAGCATCACTGAATGTTTAATAAGCATTTTCTAGGGGCCAACTAAGCCATGGGCCACAGCTACTGAGCCCTTGCCCTGCAACTAGAGAAGCCACTGCAATGAGAAGCTGGCGCACCACAGCTAGAAAGTAACCCCTGCTCCCCACAACTGGAGAAAACCCTCACGCAGCAACAAAGACCCAGTGGAGCCAAAAATAAATAAAGCTAATTTTAAAAATTAAGAAAAATAAATTATTAAAAAATACTTTGTATGGATCATCTCTTAATCCTCCAGTAACCCTGTGAGGCAGGTACCACTGCTATCCCATTTGACAGATGACAAACCCTTACCAGAGTCACTTCCTCCCTTCATAACTCTTCACTGGCTCCTCATTTTCAGCCAAAGTAAGTTCAAGCTCTTTGACGTTTCGCACAAAGACCTCCAAGTTCTGACCCCTGTTGGCCTTTGCAGTCTCCTCTTCTGCTCTTCTTCTCCTCTTGCCACAAGCTCACTCCCTCCTGGTGTGCTTTCTTGACCTCTCTGCCTTTGCTCACACCAGCCCTCTGCCTGGAACATTCTCACCCTCTCCTCATAGGTTGGACGGCACCACTCTAAGGGGTCGCGTCTGGCCGTCTCTCTCACAGCGGCTGTCACATTTGGGCGGTAGCCGCCGTTCGTCTGTGCTTCCATCAGTCCCCCAACGATCATATCATCCGCCACACTGGGGCTATTTGAGTCTTTGCATCATATCCCTACCCACTCCAGTATTCTTATCAGGGAAATCCCATGAACAGAGGAGCCTGGTGAGCCTGGCATCCATGGGGTTGCAGAGTTGGACACGACTTAGCAACTGAACAGCAACAACATCACGACCCTAATTAGAAACAGCATGGATCCACAGAAGGGCAGAGAATCCTCATCTAAACCCTGATCAGAGGACCGGGATGGGGAATACATGTAAATCCATGGCTAATTCATTTCAATGTATGACAAAAACTACTGTAATGATGTAAAGTAATTAGCGTCCAACTAATAAAAATAAATGGAAAAAAAAAATAAATAAATAAACCCTGATCAGGGCAGGGGACTTGGAAGCCTTCCGACAAGGGCCAGGAAAGACTGGGCTACTGTCTTTCTCTACCTCTC